TTCACAACAGCCAGTTATGCAAGCACACATGCGACTCTTCCTTTTCTTTCATTATACCCTATTTATTTCTCTAAGTCTGCATACGTTTCAAGAGCTTCTAGGTCTTTGAATCAACTTTCTTCAATGCAAATCTGGAGGTCCACATAGGATATAACTAAACCAGCTCAAGTGACCTTCTCACATACTGCAATTGCAACTATAACAAGCCCAATACTTCTTTTTAGAAGTCAAAGGATCTCATTGCAATTTCCAAGTTCATGTCCTACCCAACAGTAACTCTTTCCCCTTTAGATATCTTGGTGACTCAAAACTCCAACCATATGGTTGGAGAGGAAGGTTTTACCAGTAGGCCATCCCTCCATAGTCAAGGGATCAGATTCATTCTTCTAAGTGATAAATAGTAACCAAACAGTCACTAAAGATTGCCACTATTTATCGCATGCTACTTCTTCAATTTACATGCACAAACAAAACTTTAAGTTCTTCACCGTGTAATGAAGCACATAAAAGTTCAGAATAGCAAAATGAATACAGTTGAGGTAAGGACAAAATAGTGAATGTCATGTACAGTGAGGAATTAAAGTAAACATCTTCAAGAAAGAGATCATGAAATTTACATGCAAGGAGGTGGGCCTTCACCCTCAGGCTCCAATTTGCGCCATTCATATGGCTTGGCAGCTGTGTCCAAAGCCCAAACATCAGCTAGAGGTCGCTTACCTGAAAACAATGGATCAAATTATTAATTCTTTGTATATTATTGCTTAAATTAAATGGAAAGACCTCTTCACAAGACTGACCATCATTTCCACCGATAGCCATGAGATATCTTTGCCCTACCAAAGCCATGACGTGGCCATAACGTGGCCCTGGACCAGGTCCTTGGACGACAACCCTGAAAAGATCAGAATTATTTCAGTAGTTGATCAGCACACTTCACCAGCATACACCATGTTCATCGAAACTAAGTCCCTACTTGAACTGCTAGGAGCTAACCTGTGCCATCGTGGGCGTTGTTGTGTAAGGTCCAGAACATGAAGATCCTCAGCTGACAATCCAGCTGGACCAATTCCACCCTGGGATGAATAACATCGAACATCTTTACTAGCTGAAGTATATAATCATGCACGACGCAAATGAAATGCTTTCAGTTTCTACCAACCTGAATAACAACCATAGTTCCAACCGCGGTAGCAACATGAGCAGCCCGTGGTGTGGGTGGCTCTCCTATTGGGGTCATCCTGTAATTAATAATAAACAGGTGCATACTTTATCCATTCTAAGTAAATAATAAATTAGAATGTAGCTTCCAGTGACACCAATAGCCACTTACCTAGACCATTTATTTGTCAAAACATCATAGCAGTGCACATCAGCAGTAGCCCCAGCTAAACCTGCAATTAAGACCTCTTCTATCAATTGGTCACTTCATTCATTGCTTTTAATCTACACAACTGGAAAGTAAACCATATTCTAATCAAATCCAAAAATTGTCCATGGATTGCCCAGAAAAGAGGTCTGTCAAGTTGGATAATTAAGAGAATTGGAGGAAACGTACGAATTCCAGCACTTCCAGCAGAAGAAGGAGTCCCTGAACCAGCAGAATTCCCTTCAAGAGCAGTTGCCCCACCAAAGAGAATAAGCCTAGGACCAATGTAATTGGGGCTACCTTCCTCCCCAACAGCCGGTACAGCCGTTAACGTATGCCCACACCTTGGCCCTGGACCATCCTCCTTCTTCTCCATAACTGCGTGCACCACAGAATATGTTGGAGCACACCTCGGCCCCGCCACCGGAGTACTGCCCTGCTGCTGCTGCTGAGGCTGAGAAGTTGCCGGCTGCTGCTCATCCTTAGGAGTCTCCGGAGGAGATCCCCCGGCTGATGACTGGCCGTTTAGCTGCTCCGACGACGCGCCTTTATTCTCTGCGTGATCGGATTCGGATGACATCGTTGAATCCACATCCATATCCCTCACCTCGAAACCCTAGATTCCTAAGCTTATTGGAGCTACAATCCTCAATCATATCCACTTTGGATCACCATTTCCAATCCAATTCAAACCACAAATGTCGAAAATCACAATTCCCAGTCCCTAGATCCTCTGATTCAAATACATCCAAGTTTTCCGAAAAAATTACAGACCAAAAGAGAGAAAATTCTAGGTTTTTCCTTCTCTCTCTTCTTCTCCTAAAAAAAAAAAAAAAACTTCAAGGCGGTCTTCGAGGAATACAATAGCAGGATCAATCCGAACACTTTCTCTCTCTAAAACTCCTTCTCTGTGCAATCTTCCATCACTCGTTTTCTCTCTCTACAAGTATTTATATGAATCTATAGATTCATACGTATTTTTCTGCGGATAGTATCTCTGTCTCTCTCATCTGATGTGAATGGTTTAGAAGAAATGTGACTACGGTGGACTTCATTCTTTACCTCTCAAGGTACAAGTCCTGCTGCATGATTTACCCTGTGTTTTCACAAATAGTACAAGCATTAATGCATGGAGTACAGCAGTTTTGTGCCGTCGTCAGATTTCTCTTTTTTTTTGTAAAATAACCGGTTCCGATTTCAACGGGAGCAGTGCCCTCGTTGATTGGGTGAAAAAGAAGAACTCCGTCAGACGCGCAGGGGCGGCGCGTGTGTGGAACTGATTCAGCCTGACAAATACATATGGGATGAGAGCTGGCTTGGCTTAAGATAATGCTATTCATGATTGGTTTAGATTCATTCATATTATTTTATTTTATTTTTTAATCTTTTTATTATGTATTTTTATTCCTTTAATTCTCATACATTGTATTGTATCAAAATGCTAGATCATGAAGTTGTGAAATCTCATAATGAATGGAGAGGTTAAAATATACGCATATTTGATTATTTTTGCAAGGATTTAATATAAATATATCAAATATTAACTACGTAATAAATTAATGTATATTTATATATATGAAATTATAGCGAGAAAATGTGTCAAAAGAAAGTAAGATAAACGAAAATTATTGAACAAGATCTATTATTTCTTAAAAACGATGCAAACTCTAAAAATAGGGTTAAAAGAATATTTGATACAATAGTTTTAATTTACTATTAGGTCGATTTTCAACCTATTAATATTGTATTCAGAAATAATATGTTATCTAAGATTTATATGGCGATAATAATATAACGAAATGATAATGACATAAATTGAACTGTTACTATTTGTTTTTATTTTTATTTAGTATGATAACACATAAATTTGAATTTGTTAAGAAATGAATGAAATATGACCCAAAAAATGAAATATAGCAATGCTCAAAAAAAAAATTATGTTTTGGAGATTATAATATTATTTTAATTTTATAGTAAGAGTAGAATAATAAATTTGAAATAATTAATTTTAAGATAAATTATTTCGTGATAATTTATTTCCAATCAAACGAGCCAACAAAGGCAGATAGGACATGTTATATTATGACATGGACAGTGGACACATTTATCCATTTGGCAAACAGTGATGTAAGAGTAAACTTTGAACTACACCTCTCGACCCTACAAGTTTTTATGTTTATCGAATGCTCCATCATTAAGTGTTTGTGTTTGGACCATCGATATAAAATTATATGTCAAAACATTGTTTAGATATATGATTTGAAATTATAAATTAAGAAAAATCATAATTTCTAAAAAAAAAGAAAGGATTTCAAATTTCAAATTTCATTCAAATGTGACCTTAACTCATAATTTTTATTTAAAAGAATATTGATGATTTAATTTTTTAACAAAAGACTCGAATGTGGTAATTAAGAAGAGATTATTTATATCGTGTAAAAAGATTATATTAAAAAAGAACTAATTATTATTATCGTTGATTAGTGAATTTTTTTATAAAATTTTGTGTATTTAAAGGTTTGTAATTACAGACATTTGTTTGTAAAAGAACATAAAGATATACAATTTATTAATGAGATTTCTTAGAATATTTCGATCTCTTGTTTATAAATTATACTTTACTCATATGGTAAGATTGAATTTGTTAAGTTTCTATATTAATGAAACAAATATAACTTACAAAATTTAAATTGCATGTTCAAATATAACTTGAGCTTTATATTAATTTAATTTTCATATCTTATGTGCAAACGGACAAATTAGCTACAAAGCTTCAGTTCACATTGAATGTTTATCGTAATTCAATAAATGCATAACATCTTCTCATGTACTGTTATATTTAAATTTAAAGTAATTAATATAAATTTGGCCTTAAATTATCACTTGTGTGTAATAAATAAATATAATTTAATGTAACACCGAACGTGAATAAAAAATATTCCTTTTTTGATCCCTGACATGGCCCTTTTCTTTTCTAAAACTTTTTGCGGTCGTGAAGCATGCCTATTAGGGCATAGATATCACGCTTCAATTTAAACATTTGGTTTGTTCGTGTGGTCTAAAATTAGACTTCATTAAATTATTTCAAGATTCAAATTAGTTAACAAAGTGCAACTCCCACTTATCTCAAACCATAACCTTTTTTTTCCCACTAGTATCCAGAACCATTCGGGAGTGACACTTCCAACAAAATTTTCTCTATACTCAAATACTCAAATCAAAACTTTACTAGTAGCAGAACCAAAAATTCAAGATCGTGATTAGTAACTCAAACTTTAAAAGTTATTTGAACCGTAACTTTGAAAGCTCACTTCTTTTAACACAATCATAATACATAAATGTACCATTTAATTTGACTTCAAACTTTGGGTGTGGGTGCACAAATAAATACTTACCGACAAACACATGTGTCTTATGTAACATAATACACATAAAACGTGAATTGCTCCAGGTAAGTTATCATACTCGACATTTATTTGCTATTGCTTGCAATTATAGTTGAATTTGAGGAAGTATTACCTTAAATAATCAACTAGCAAAAAAAAGAAAACATTCATTGGAATAACCTATAGCCAAAGTAAAGAAAATGATGTATTGAGTGCAAAAGGCGGGAAAAGAGGCTAAATATGAGGATAAGTAACTTGGAGAAGAAGACTTAGATTTAGCCCTTTCTTTATTTGCTTATGGCTCAGTTCATCATTGAACATTCACAACAACAACCCTCTAATCATCCACTCATGATTCACCCAAATTTTCTTAGTATATATGTACAAGAGGAACACACACTACACATCAAAGGGAAGAGCCTAACGGCATCCTCTCCTTGAATCCCGCATATGCTACAACTAGAAATTTAACCAGATTGGACTCGAGCTCGAGTAGAGATCGATCAGCTTGGTAGGGAGCGCTTTAACTCCTTAGTCGACCAAATGGAATACTGAACGCCTAAATTTAAATATAAAAAAAAAAAAAAAGAACTTGAGCAGATTACACCTCAACAGTACCTTTTGACTATTGATTGTTTTCTGTTGCTTTCTTTGAAAGCTCATTCAAAGCTTGTAGTTGAATTCATTTTGGGGTTACTTAGGCTGAGGGCATTCTTTTTGACAAACCCTTCAAGACCTCGTTCCCACATGATACTCCTCTAAGATGTGTCTTTTGTCTTCACAACATCACAATTTGCATTAGATTTCTCCTCTTCGTCGTCAGCTGTAAACTAAAAATAAATGAAAATGGAACATGGTTCAGTTCAAATAGCATCAGATCCTAACTCAACAATCACCAATTCGCCAACGCATTTGTTATCTCTTTAGCTTCATTGACACTTAGGTTTTAATGTTTTACACCAAAAATCCAACACCTTTTATAAGAAAATTGGCCATAGTTTGTTTCATAGTGATGATTGAGACATCTGGTCTAACTTTCCCAGTCCAAATCCACAAGTATCAACGGCAGATGCCATAATTTACCTACTTTCTTCTTTACATAAGACATAATTTCCTTCTTGTTGTTTCTTTGACTCATGGGAGATTTTCCATTCAGCCGCCCAAAAGATACCAAAGAAGACTAAAAAGTTGTGTCCAAATTTAACAATTAAATACTAATTCAATGGGGGGAACTTTTTCTTTAGGTTGTTAATTGTTATTCAAGACTTGTGAGCGTTAATGTGAGTATGCGACAAAGAAAGAAAGAATAAAATTTTCAAGATTTTCTACAATATCTAAGCATTGATTCATAGAATGTTTACAGAAAATGGTTACACATGACAGTTCACAATTACTAGTTTAAGAGAAGTTCACATAAAGTTAGTGAAAACATAACTATCTTCACATATTAAACAGCTCCAATTAACCTAATATGCTCAGCAATTTAAAATATCTAGTCTAGTAAGATTCTAAAAATGTCTCATCACCATAAAAGGGAAAAAAGAAACCACCTTGAAAAGATTCACCACTCAAATTGTTCATACTTCGAGTATGTTAAGCTGACTTTAGTCTAGTGATATTACTAGTAATACTTTCTAAAACACTATAACAGCCGTCAATCTCAAATCACCAAATCTACCAAGTAAATTCATCAAAACTCAACTGAAAAAAATCACAAAAAAGGAAAGAAGAAAACTTACCAAGAAAAAGAAGTTTTAGTCCTTAAAAATGACGGAATCCGCCATTTCCATCAACAATTTCAAGCTATCCGGAGAGAACTTTCTTGCAAACATGTAAGAATACGTTGAATTCGACTCTCTGAGCTTGTAAATCAGCTCAGGGGAAACTTCGGGTGGCTGATAAGTATGGGGATGTCCACCAACTGAGTCGGTCCAATTCACCCGAGTCAATGTGTGACGAGTACAGCCATTAGGATCCTCCATTGATAACAAAGTAGGAAAATAGTGTTCTTCAGGATAACAAGACTGGATTTTTACACAAGGCTTCTTAAATTTCCTCCATAGCTTACTATCCTTAATCACCATCAATGAATGCTTTCTTGTAATAACAAAAAACTGTGACCCAACTCGGAATTTATCAAAACTCACTTCTGGTTCCATCACATTTTCCCCTCTAGCATTATACCTATCTAATAATGAAGGAGATTCCGTAAGAATCTCTATATAACTAGGAAACTCCATCTTCCTAGATAATTTCTGGGTATCCAATAGAAAATTGTAAAAGTAATTAAACGAGTGCAAAGGTATACAATGCTGAGAGATAAGAGCAAAATAAGCATTATCTGGGTCATCAAGCAAAGCGTGAGCAAGAAGGCGGCGTGCGGCTGAGATAAGCGTCGGTGAGGAGCGCTGAGTTCTCTTCGCATGTATAAATCTATCCGCAAAAACACCCGTTGGAGGAGTAATTTTCACTGTAGGGTCAGCGTGAATGTAGATATTATACAGATGTGGATCAGACGCATTGAAGAACTTGTGCCACAAGGGTTCAAAATGTAAATCTGAATTCGTTAAAAAGAGAAAAGCGATTTTAGGGCGGCGTACGGTGGTGGAACCAAGACGGAATTTGTTGGAAGGGTGCTTCCGGGATGGTTTTTTGAGAAAAGTGGAATCGGCGGCGATGGCTTTGTGGAAAAGGGAAAGATCGTCGAGTTCATCAGGGAGAGAAATGGGTATTTGTCGTTGAGGAAGAATTGATGGGGCTAAGTAAAAGATGATTGGAATAGAGATAAGAAGTGTAAGAGATGGGATAAGGATGTAGTATTTGAACATGGTGAAGAAAAAGCACAAAAGGGGAAATGGGGAAGGGGACAATTTAGAGTGAAAGTACCATTGAAAGGAGCTTAAAATGGGGAGAAGAAGAAAGGGGGTTTAGGGATTAGGGTTTGTGGGAGAGATTACAGGTGAAGATGAAGAAGTGAGGATTTGGATTGAGATTTGAGAAGAGAGAGATGAAGGAGATAATGGTGAAATTGCTTTGCTTGAATGGAGTTGAGTAGAGAGGGGGGGTAGGTATAGGGGGTTGGGTGGGGGTGTAGTGTGGGGCCTTTCTTATTTATTTTCCGGTCATTTGACGTAATGGACTATATCACTTACACCAAGTTGATATTAGTAATAAATACTATGGTATATGGTCCATAGCTACTAATTTTAGTATAATATTTAATTTAATTATATAATTTTTATGATGATAATTCAAATTAGCCATTACATTTTTAATTTTTTTTTTATGTGTGAGAATGATTAAATTTATCCTAAACTTTGCTAAAAGGATTAAAATGTATTCCTTAAATATATTTTTTGAAATAAAATTATTTTTTTCACTTTCATTAGATAAAAGGGTATATCTAAGCTATTTATGAAATGGTAGAGGTATATCAAAAGAACAAATATACCTCTGAACTATCGTAAATGGTATGCAGATACCCTCCGTCATACTTTTGAGACATTGATGTCACTGTCGTCCAAATACTAGAACATATATACCTTAATACTAACGGACATCCACGTGTCATAATCTTATCTACCGATCCAACATTTATTAATTATTGAATGGACGGATAAGATTGTGTCATGTGTTCCTATTTTAGTCTTCCTACTTTAACTTGTTAAGCATTGAAATACGAAAAATTTAAATTTAATTGAAATTTAATACGAATATAGAACACCGAATGAATTTTTTTTTAAAAATGAAACTAACACAAATAAAACAACACAATAAATGAAATTTTATATAACTTGTCTTAATTATCGTACATTTGTGACTTAGTTCTCGTTGTTGTAAAACGTAACGTAAAAAAAAATTAAAATTAAAAAACAGTTAAAGAATTCAATAAAACAGTAATTCTTTTAATTTGTCGGAATAAAAACATACTGGTAGTATGTAATTACTTCTTTAGTATTGTGCTGATTGAAATTAAGAAATACTTAAAATTGGACAAGATCCTGCAGCATGGTTTGATATTATATTTGATCAATTAGAGAGTATAAATCAGGAATAACGCATCATTACATGCTATTATTATTTTAATCCATGGCAATTAAATTTCCATTTCCATGTCTTGTAATGTATGTGATGACAAACTTAATTAATATAGTATTAGGTCATCCAATAAGCAATCTTAAGTTGCTTAATGTTAATTATCATAAATTAAAGATGTTTCATTGACATAACCTAATCCTATATAAAGATTAGTGCAAACGCCACGGGTTTACCCTTATCTAACCAAAACCCACCAACCCTAATCCCCTATTAAAAGAAATAGAGATGCCAAACTATGTGTATCACCTATATAAGTCCTATGATTTTTTTAAATTGATGATTATGATTGAGTGATAAATATTTCTTCGCCTTTAATTAGAGTCTCGTGTTCGAATATTGAATATAAAATTATATTTCATAAGAAACGTTTTATTTTTAAAATTATTATTATTTTGACAAAATTCACGATTAATTGAATCTGAACGAAAATTTATTAAAATATACTCTTAGCTACATTCTTATCCTTTTTATTATTTTATAAATTTTTTGTTTGGTTAGAATGGGGCTAACAAAAGTGAGCAAGGCAAAAGTAAAAGAAGGATGCTCTATTATGAAATTAGAACCCTACAATTTAAGCTAAAGAGTGCTATTAAAATCCCAACAAACCCATTAATTTCTCTTTCAACTAAACAAATTCTTAGCTTTTACTTTTGGTTTATTATTAAGTAAAATAAAATAAAACTTATGATGTAACGTTTTGAAAATAAATCTACATTTAAAGTTGTTTAGGTCTCCCAACCACCCTTTCCAAAATACAAAAATAAAGATAGGTGACTAATGTATGCATCTGCATTTTGTTTTTTCAAAACATTTATGCAGTTGATTGAGACATATCACTACCCGCTCCAATATTTGTTTGAGAAAAGAGAAAGCGGGGACGCCATCGGATATAATATTGAGGAACTTATAAAATAAAAAAAACGTAAATTAACCTAAGATAGATTTAACTCATTCTCCTTTTTACTGCAAATTAGAGTCAATTTCCTAAATGGTCACCCAAGTTTAGGGAATTGCCTTGAAATATCATTTATGTTTCATTTAGGACCAAAATATCACTCAACTATCACTATTTTCCTCCAAATATACTTGACACTCCAAAAGCCTCACTCTCTCCTAGTTGGCATGACATGTCATTAAAGTTTTTTTTAATAATAAACTAATTAAATTCATTAAACCCATTTAACTAAAATAATGATCATATTTTAAAAAAAAGAAGATATATTGGTTTATTAAGAATAAATTTTCATACTTAAGAATCTTTTATCATAATTTATTTTTTTATGCAATGAAGAATAGTTTTTTTAAAACTTACCATAATGTCATCAATTTTGAAAAATTATAAACAGATATATTCAAAAAATATTGATATATAAATCACTTATGAATGTCAACTTACATCAATTACTCATATATTATATAATGGATCAATAATATTAAAGGTCAATTAACTATTAAAAAATAATTAGTTGGGTGCTTTGAAGCCCATATATACTTACAATATCTTTTTTTTAAAAAAGAAAATAGAAAGTGAATAATATTTATATTAGAAAATAAAATTTTGATCGTTATTTATCAGTATATTAATCTCATATAATATGTATATAATTGAAATAAAATAGGCAATTCAATTAATTATTACTTGTATTTCATGAATTTGGGATGAAATAAGAATATATATTGGTGTTTAATTGTATGAGAAATTAAAATATAATATAATATAGAATAAAAGAATAAAAAAATATTAAATAATAATTTTCTCTTTCATACCAATTTTCTTGTCAACCTTACAAATTTATTTGAATACTTTTATGAAAAAAATTGCTTAAAATTTTCAAATAATTTACCTAGTAATTTTAAAAATTACTAGGTAATAATTGCACATAGAGGTTTTTCATTGAATTTTGTTTGGTAAAAATATATACATGAATTATATTTTTTAATTCTTTTTTATAATCTTCATAAATTCTCATGTAATTTATATATTTGTTTTGTAGAGACATAAGTTTGATGAATTGAATAGGTCTATTATTTTTTAAAATGATGATTTAATGACATGACGTATCAACTAGAATAGAAGGAGACTTTTGAGGTATTTAGTATTATTTTTTTTGGATAAAAAATATAATATCATTCACTTTCTATTTTTTCAACAAAAAAAATATTGTAAGCATGAATTTCAAAATACACAATTAATATTATTGTAATTGTTAATTGACCTTTAATATTATTGATCCATTATATAATATATGATTAATTGATGTAAGTTGACATTCATAAGTGATTTATATATCAATATTTTTTGAATATATGTGTTTAAAATTATTCAAAATTGATGACATTATGGTAAGTTTTTTTAAAAAAAACTATTCTTCATCGCATAAAAAAATAAAAAATTAATTATGATAAAAGATTCTTAAGTATAAAAATTTATTCTTAATAAACTAATATATCTTTTTTTTTAAATAATATGATCATTATTTTAGTTAAATGGGTTTAATGAATTTAATTAGTTTATTATTAAGAAAAAGACTTTAATGTCATGTCATGTCAACTAGGAGATAGTGAGGTTTTTGAAGTGTCAAGTATATTTGGAGGAAAATAGTGATAGTCAAGTGATATTTTGGTCCTAAATGAAACATAAATGATATTTCAAAGCAATTCCCTAAACTTGGGTGACCATTTAGGGAATTGACTCCTGCAAATTATGAGAGTCCGGAGTTAAAAGGACAAAAAAAAATTGTCAAAAATTCCAAAATGGCACATCAATTTTTTTTAAAATCAAAAGGGCAAAATCGCTCATGACGAAGCGATTTCCCTCTGACACAATGAATAGCAGCAATTTTGTCCAAAAACTTTTCTTCTTTTTTTTTTTAATTAAAAATCGCTGCCACAACAGCGATTTTAAGTCGATTTTTTTTTCCTTACACATCGTTGTAGGGGCAGCGTTTTTCATGCCTAGTGCTATTATTTTCATGCCTATTGTTAATTATTAATAATATAAAAATGCCTATTGTAGTTTTTTTTTTTTTTAACGGCCAACGTCAATTTTTGTCAGAAAAAAATTGCTCCTGACGGAGCGATTTTGTCCTTTTGGTTAATTTTTTTTTGATATGCCGTTTTAATTTTTTGAAAGAAAAAAATTGTCCTTTTGACTCCAATTGCCTTTTTAGATCATCATTTAGGTCTCTCACCTAAGTAGTGGTAGTTTATCACATATAATCTCTTTAGTTTTATAAGATAAGAATAAGATATATATATATATATATAAAAAAAATCTTCAAAAGTAATCACATTAGTCCGCAATCAGTGGAGGACTAAAAAGAAATATGTAATAATTTAGGGAAGTCCCTAAAAAACCTTATTTTGTAACAAGTCTCTCCTTCCATCTATAAAATGAGAGCATTGAAGCTTAGACTATCTTTTCCTTTTCTTAGAAATGTTTAAGTGTGAGTGTGAGTAAAAACTTCTCCCGTCAGGGAAAAGTATTTCTCTTATATGTTGTGAGATAAATATAATATAGTATAGTGTGATATGTAAAAATTATAATATGCAATAAAAAAGTTGGTTTTTATATCTCTCTTCTTGAAATTCCATAAATAGTCTCAAATGAAGGTTGCGATCTTTAGCCCTAAGGAGGAACAGTAAGAAGTAGTCAAAAGACTGAGGTCATTAGGGTGAAATACTGTTCATAGCCTGAAAGGAGAGCTACTGCGGTGATGATAAGAATTGTTCATCGATCAAAAAAAAGGAAGGCATACACTCACGCTTTATTATTACATATTATAAAGTTTTACATACAAACTATATTATATTACGTTCATATCTAAACTTAGAAAGAAATATTTAGTACCTATAGAGAATTTAAAATTATTTGAAAATTGTTAAAATTATACAGAAAAGCAGCTTTTTATTCATGTTATACAACTTCATATTTCTATTCATGCTACTGGCATAAATAAACATGAAAAATATTCAACAACATGTGCATAGAATAAGAAGGAGAGCCTGGAGGCATAAAAAGGCTTTACATCATTTTGATAAAGCAATACCAGAAATGAAACATCTGCATGCTAGCTTAAGATATACAACAATTATATTTGCAATACATGAAATGAAAATGCATAGAATACAAGAGTATTCTGAATACAAAAATGCTCAGTCAATCTTAAAGAAATGCGTATTATTTACTGCATAAAATCTGCAACACTGTTTATAAAAACAACACACATATAATGGTATCAGAGCCAAGGAACTAATGGAAGAACTAGATTTTAATCTAGATAAACCTCTATGGTATATAGAAGAAAAAACCTTAGTATCAATACTACAGGTAATTAAAACTTTAAATGATGATTTAAGGAGAAAAATCATAACTATTATTACATTAAAAAAATCTGAGGAAGACTTTTTTATGTATGAAATAAATTACAATTATCCTGAAGTAATTATAAATGATATGAATACATCTGATTATTACTTTTCAGAATAATTAAAATGAGTATTAGAGAAGTCTTAGAATTATTAAAAGACTTAATGGAAAGCCATAAACAAATAGCTTTAAGGCTAAAATTGATAGAAATGGAGATTATTTCTCTTAAAGAAAATATTCCTGGAAGAATTACTAATGTAATTGAAAAACAGAAAATTTTGATAAAAAGGTAAGTCAAAAATACATAAATAAATTACTAGCAAAAAAATTTGCAAGTACAACTACCTACCAAAAAGAAAGTATGGATGAAATATTAATCCAAAAGTTTCTAGAAAAACAAAAAATTGATAAAGAAGAGGTTCTAGAAGAAGATCTAGAAGAAAAAGAAAAACTAGAAATAGCAAAAGACAAATCATTAGAATGAATGAACTAGACGAACTAGTTTATGCAATGGAAGATCTACATCTTTCAGAAGCTGAATTAAATGTATTTATGAATAAAGGCGAAACAGGAGGACCCCAAGGAAAATTTGAAGAAGGAGATGGATCCAAATTCATTAAAGAAGAATGACAAGAAGAGCCTGAAAAGAAAGACAAACTTTTTGCAGATAAAGCAAAAAAGAACAAAGATTTTATAAAACAATATCATAATGATGATAAATCCAGGTTCATGCCTAATAGACTTTCAACAGGAGATATTAGAACTCAATTCCTAGATCTAGATTGTAAAAGAGATCCGAAAACAATCCTAGATTTATGGTCTCAAAACATATTGCTATATTTTCTGCTAGGAAAAGGAGTAGATTATACAAACGAAGAAAAATATATAATAATATATATATCACTCTATCTATTGTAGTGAGTATGCCACTGTTGTTATTTAAAATTTAAGAAGTTAGATAAATATATATATATATATATTTTTTTTTTTAAATACTCTTCTAAATAATGTTAAATTTGAGTATAGTTGCTCATATATTTATCAATTTTACATATAAAATATTAGATGGTCATCTAAAATATTTGTAACATGCTGTTATAATTTACTTAAAAAGAAATTTGACTTGTATCGAAAGATCGATAGGTTATCAGAGAAACAAAAAGAAAGTTTTTTATCAAATAGTAAATTAATAAATAAGGTCAAAATGATAAAAATAAATATTATTTTGTTTCTCCTGTATATTTAATATATATATATATTTACAATCTATTATAAAATTATTTTTGTTATTAAAAGTAACTAAATAAAATAATATAATTAAATTTAAAATTCTAAAATATAACTAATAAAAACAATTCAATTAAATAATCTATAATAAAGAAGTATTGATAAGGTTTGCATACACTTCATTGTGTCAAAAACAATCTCTTGAGAGAAGGTTTACTAAGTACAATCTATCATATCAGAAATTACGAAGTAGGGCAAGATTGGGACACTTTATCAAACTTGATATTTTAATTTATCTGTCTTTTTTTTTTAGGAAAAATTATGTGGTTAAGCAAATTTATATTACTTAATTAGTCATCATAGCTATAGTTTGCTATAATTATCACTCGCGACTACCATTGAGTGTTAATTATGTGGGTTGGGTTTGAGTTTGTATAATTCACAACTAACAATTCTTTGATTGATTTGTATTTGTATATGACAGTGTTTTCCTTTCGTTTTTCAGTTCTATCACCAAATACATTCAATCGTTTTTGTATAACTTTTTAAAGTTAGATTTTGTATAATATAATTTGTATAACTATTTAAAGTTCAGATGTTTGTATTTGTATAAATTTATTATTTTGAGTTTTATCATATTTGTATAATTTCAAAATTTGTATTACTCAATCGTATAAATACATGCAAATCATACAAACGTACCTGTATATTATACAAACAAGGTAAAAAAATTATTGCCCTCTCTCACTCGCCTCTCTCCTCCCTCTCCCAATCTCGTTCGATCTCTCATTCTCGCTTGCCTCTCTCCTTCCCTAACCTGTAGCATGAATAGTAATTAGCAAGCTATAGCTATAGAGCCTCTTTAAATTATTCTGAATAGGTATATGCGAAAAATTCCTTATTTTTATATCAATTTTTTAAAAAAACATTTCTTTTTGTAATTGATAATTTTTTAGTTTCAATTTCTTTTAACATGATATATTTAAGACCACAAAATAATATTTCAATACATGACCTACTTTTAGTTTTAAAATGTAGTAGTAATATTTTTTTTTTGATTTTCTTGAATTTGATGCCAAACAATTCAAAACCTGCTGCCTAAAAACCATTTCGTCTATATTGAGCAAAACTTAACTCAAGGATAAATTCTGGTTATCTTCTCTTCCTTTCCCCTTTCATGAAATGCCGTCGCTGTCGTCCGGTCACGTCAGCGGCGGATTCTCCGCCGCCACTGTCAGTTCTCCGTTTCCCCTGTCATGTTTAGTCTTCTCCATTGTTCATTCTTCACCTTTTTCTCACATCCCATTTTTGTGAAACTTGTGATATCATCTTCCCATGCCAAAATCCCCCCCACAACCCAATGCTTCGACCTCGGGAAGAAAAGGTGATTCGGCTCGCAAAATGGGTCGACCCAGATTTCCTATTTCCTCCCCTATAAATCCGAGCAACAATGAAAGCCAGAATACAAAGAGTGAACTACGGTAAGAAGTATGTTTCCTTTCATTTTTGTTGCTCATTTGTATTCTCCATTTTCTTCATATATTGTTTACAGTGTGTATATGAGATTTCCTTATTTCAAGTACTGAGTTTTCCCTCTTTTTTTTGTCTATTGTTTTGTAGATTGAGCTAATCTTTTTAGGTTTACAAGTATGAGATTTAGGCAGAGAAAGAAAGTGAACAACAAAATGGTGACACCAGTGGAGCATGTATCTATCCCTCATGACCTCCCTGAGTTCTTTAAGATTTTTCACCCTGAAATATGCTACCCCCAACTGGTAAGCTCTTCTTTCCCTTCTGCAAATTTTGGGGAAAAAAGACTAATGATTCATGTAATAATGTCAAAGTTTTCATGTATAAAGAGAATCAGTCTTGCAGGAATTTGTTATGTTCTGTCCCAGTAACAATGAGCCTTTCATACTTAACTACTTATTTGAGTGATTGAATCTTTGGGATATGCTTTTGGAGAAATAACTAACAAAGGACTTTTTTTCCCTTTCTAAAATGCTGATCTTTCGGGATGATAGGCATTAGTGCATTTGGTTGTATTCCGTGGTGGAACTAGGATTTTCACTAATTGGGTTCAAAATATGAAAAGTAAACACACAAAGAAGCCAAAGGATTCAACTTGTACTATATATACATAAAAAAATAATTTTAACCATGTATAAATAATGTAAGTTCCCATGGAAGGGGTTCATCCCTTGGCTCTACCTGGCTGTCTGCTGTTGTATTAAGATAATTTGGATGAAATTAAGGAGCATTCCACTAGTTGAACTTTACTTACTCCAACTTTCCGTCTGTTCTTAATCTCTTATACTGTATGTAAGAGAGAAATCTATATCATGCAGCTATGTTCTCTTATAGTTTTTGGTTCTTGTTTGCATGTTCACAGTTCATAATGGATCCTTTAAGATGATTGAGGTATATCAAGTTTTAATTGAAAGCGTTGATGAAAGTAATGTTCAAAACTTGCAAATAAGTATCTCGTTTTTAGACCGGTGTTTATTATCCTACTAAGCAATGTATATTCGTATAGTTGTGTAGAAATTACACTTTATGCATCTGCAAAGGGAATGTCAATTTGATACTTCCTTACTGACTTAAGAGTGGACGAATGGAAATAATAAATGATCTAATGGTGGTTAAGGTTCTAGATTTAGAAGACTATATTGGACATAATCTGGCCATCCAATATAGAAATTAGCACTGGACTAAGAATTTCAATTTGTGTTAAAAGCTTTTCTGTCTTATTGTATTGTTTATATTGCAACAACTTTATTTCACCGGAAATTAAGCGAAGTTTTGTGTCTCCGTCTCTTAGAGAATTCCACCTGCATTTATCAAGTTTTTCAATGGAGATATTCCTTCGATATGTGTGCTTGAAGATCTTGCTGCGAGAACATGGAAGGTGGTTGTAGAAAGGAACGACGGTGATTTCTTTTTCATGGAAAGTTGGCCAGACTTTGTGTTGGATAATAATTTGGAATATGGAGATTTTCTAACATTTTCATATCCTGGAAACTCGAAGTTTTATGTTAAGATATATGGGAAAAACGGTTGCCTAAAGCAGGATGTAACAGCTCTCAAAGAGCCTGAGCTGCTTCCATTGGTTGAAGAAAATGCACGGGGTAAGTTTCTTTGGAGATCTTCAATTTGTAGCTAGTTTGATTCCAACACATTTGTCTCCACTTACAAAGTTTGGAACTGATGCAGGAAAAAGCATTGTAGCTGAGCCTGCTGATCAAACAGATAATGAGTCAGGAGACATGGCTGCTTCAGTCACTTCATTTGAAATTGTCATTAAGGCATCCCACTTGAACAGAGCACGCTTGGTAAGTTTATTAGTCACAAAATATTTTGCGTATGCATAAATCATTAAACACAACCTATTCTCGAAAATGTCATTAATCAAAACAGCTCTACCGTCGAAAAGGCAAACAATATTGAGCTTTCCAAGGAAATGCTGTTAGCAATTTCAAGCCAGTTTTGCACTGTTAACAGTCTAAGTGGGTGTTTTGCCATAAAAACCAAATATTTTCCGGAAAAAAGTGAAAATTTCTCATGGCTAAATGTGTCCTAACTATCTGCCAATCACTAAAATCTCTTCTAAGCTGAATGTTCCAACCTCTTAACATCCCATCAGTCCTCAGTAACACTATTAACTTTTGTATGGTTGTTACTGAAGATGTAATTGTTTGATATATGATATGCAGAAGATGATAACAGGGCATTTTACTATTGTATAGCTGTTACTTTGTGTGCTTCACAATAACATCAGCTATTGTAAATCGTAGTGGCCCAATGGTATTGCTTGAATAAATTAAATATACTTTGATGGGAAATTGTCTTCTACTTGATGTAGACCTTTTATTTGTTACTAATCACTAGATTATTAAATATATACTATATTGTGTCTGAACATGTTTTTGAATGTATATACTTGTGCAGAATTTGCCAGCTCCATTTGGCAATTGTTACTTGAAGAGGAAGCAGCGACCACTTTTGGCTACTCTTCGAACTGATAGTGGTAGCTGGACGATTGTTCCTCAATATTATGATAGATTGGAACTTCGGGAAGGGATGCAGAAATTTATAGACGACAATGCTTTACGCGTAAATGATGTTTGCCGATTTAAGCTGATTGATGATGAGAAGTTAATACTGAAAGTTCGCATTAAGCGACAGCCCAAGTAAAGTACAGGCAACATCTCCTTTTTGGATCAAATTTTTCTGCCTCATTTATAGAAGGTTGATGTTTTAGAGCTTTATGTCAATGAATTTACAACATTCTATGGTATGGTATTAACTATTATGTTTTAGCATAGTTTTATAATCCACTGCATGGAAATTTTAGCATAGTATAAATTCACAAATTTCATGACTTATGTAGGCTTATAACTACATATGCTTTTTGGTAATAAAAATATTTACCAACTGTTAAAATTATTTATAGTTGAATATTAAACAAAAAAGGGTTAAAAAATACCCGTAACATATGGAAAACGGCTCATAAATATGTTTGATTCACTTGTTGATCTAAAAATATCCTGTATCGAAACAGGTTATTTGCCCAACCTTGGGCAAACTGTAATTGCTGTTGAATTTTAAACGGAAAATGGCAACAATTCATCTGATAGTGCTAGCTGATATTAAAAATAGAGGCAATTCCCTTTGATTATTCAGCTTAGTATTTGGTTCAAATATTTCTACTACTAAACATTCTATTGCAATAGAAGGTTGATGTCTTTGCAAATTCAAACTCAACTATTTTTTTAGTCACATATTTAGAGTAGAGCTATCAGTACGAGCTTGGCTCACTAGACCAACCCAACCTAGTTTTATATGTGATTTGATTGGATTGAGTTATGATTTTTGGAGCTCGTTCAAAAATGAATCTTTAGTCTGGTACAAGTAAGCTCACTAACATGTGAGGATTGAACGAGGTTGGGTTGGTCAGCTTGTAAACCAAATAAAACATAATAATACTAAAATTAAAATGATATAGAGTACCTAGAGGACATTTGATCATAAAAATTGCGAAGTATAAGTTTTTTGCATTATTAGTGTAGGATTATTTTTCCTGAATTAGTAAAGTCAAACAAATTTTGCTGCCGCCATTTCAAAGTGGTAGTTGATAAGCCTAAATTAGCTACCAAATAATCATATTGCGAAGGTCAACTTAAATTAATTTTAATTGCTTTATAATGAAAGTTAATAAAGGGCACTGTATGAATTGGAACTTTGGTTTAAATTTAAAATTGTATACTTGGACATTTGAAATGGGAAACTAATCTTTTCAAGATGATGGAATATTTTAGTATGACGAAAGTATACCTCGATAAAAATGTGTGAAAATTCTACCAAAAAATTATGATGGGATGAATATGATTCTTCTACCCTTAATCCCAGGTAATGGATTCGACTAACATCAATCATGAATGAAATGTTTTTTGGTGGGGAGCACTGACCATTAATTAGACCTTACGTGATAGGAATCTGAATTAGTCAGGCCCAAAAAAAACAGAAACAAATTCGGTGTTTTGGTGTCTAACATCTAATCCCAAACATTAGGTGATTCTAATTAAATACAATTACACGTTAGAAGACAAGGCTTTAACATTTAAGCAGGTACATATATTTGATGTCAAGGACTTGGTCTGTTGTGTAAATGAACAATTGGAGTAGTAATTAGGAAATAAGAGAAGTTTTCAAAGATGATTAGTAAGTAGTATTTGGTGAGGAAAAAGATATATATCTGCCATTTATTTTTCTAGTTTAGTTTTCCTTGGAATTTTGATTTTGAAGTGTGGGATTTAATGACTTTGGATAGAGACCTTTAAATAAAAATTATAGTCAAATATTTGGTGAAGGATTATTATTATTCTAGGGTGAAGTCCATGGTGTAAAAAATTGAACAAATAACGACTTCACACCATTTAAATGTAGCTATGTTAGAAATCAAGGATCGTGAAGTAGTAAATATTTTTTTCATCTTTAATCAGAAGTTTAAATATAAAATTACTTTTGATAGGAAAGTATTTTACCTTTAAAATATAACTTTCGACACAAATTTAAATTAATCCAATCTCAAATGACTGCGGAAAAAAAAGAAGAGGAGGTACGTACTGTGTTACCTAAATATTTCCAAAACTGACCTAGCAAAAATCTCCCATTATTAATGAATATGATTTGAACATTTAATGCTGGTATTAATTTGGACCCCTCGTTGTACACCACTTGCAGAGTTATGATATCTACTTGGCATAATAGTATATGCGCAACACCATTTTTTAGATGGATAAGGCAGCATTATTAAATATGCTATTTTCTTATTTTCCTCATTTTTAAGTTATTTATTTTTATAGTGAATTAATTTTCGACTGATCAAATTTTTTCCTTTCATATCAAACACATCCTAAACAGTGAATTTCTTACGAGATGTACTCAAGCTAAAACCATCATATAATATAGATGGGAGAGAGTATAATGTTTATTAAATTAAAAATGCTTATAAGTTGTGTCTTTCATTAATTATAACTTATAAACACTTAATTTATAAGAACTTTTAGTGTGCCCTAAACGCGTAAATACTTATTATTTACTTCTTTGGCTTACATGAATTTCGTTTAAATATACAACAACATTATAATAGTAACAATATCTTAATTCTATATAAGTTAGAAATCAGCTATATAAATCCTCATGGTAGTATTTCTTTTTTTAAGATAATACAATCGAATACAAGACATAAAAACTAAAACTGGGGTCAGTATAACAATTAAAAAACAAATCTGAAAAAGGAGGTACTAGCTAGTAGTACTAACTAGTAAATTCAATAAAAAGTTGATGAAAATACATTTAATGTTGTAGTAAATTTAACGACACAAAGTTAATAAATTATTCCACCAGAGCCTACCAAAGGTAGGTTTAGTAAATAGTTTTGTTACAGGTTTATTGGTAAAACTATTCAAAGTTTACTGAGAAGAATTAAATACGGAAACATAAGGAGTTACGATGAGAATTATTCTCTCTTTTTTCTATGTGGTGTTTTTAATTTGCGCTAATCTCATTCTTAATTAGGTCTCGAATTCGAGCCTAGGGAAAAAATCTTGTTAGGAGTGTCACCTCAAATGAGCCATGCAGTGCGCAATTTAAATTTTTTTCAAATTTTGTGGGAACCCAATACAGACAACAAACGCAAAATGGAAAATCAAGAAAAAGAACTACTCGATCACTCCAAAAAAGTTGAAAAAGATTCTTTTTTAATAATTTATTCTTAATCAAATGTCTTAAAAAGGATAATTCTTTAAATAAGGCTAAAATTAGAAGAAAAAATATGAGAATACTCTTCTTGATTTTGTGATAACAATAGCATATTCAGTTAAATTTAAAAAAGATATCAAATTTTATTATTACCTCGTAAAAATAGAGAAATCGTTTCTGACTTGTTGATTTTGGAAACGCAACTTACTATGAAATGGGGAGGGGAAGGAGTAAAAGAATTCAAAAATAGGTAAAACATTAAATGATGTGAGCAGCTGACATTTTGCTCCATTAGTATATTAGCTTTTACTAGGTTAGGTTTCAGAGCAAAATTAACTGTACCTCAGCAACAACTCCAGTTGGACCCTCCTCGAACATGATCGTAATATCAACTTAAAGATACTCTTAACACGATATAATAATGATTTTGACGAAATTTCCTTTTTAAGTTAGCGAACCTTATAGAAAAACTGAATAGACTATTGGTTGGAGAAGGATAGATTTGAAAAGGAATAATTAGTATCTTTTTTATTTCCTAAACTGAATATTATTCTTGACCTAATTTATTTGACTAAAATGAGGTTTAAAATCAATGTAACGGCGGTAGTATTAACTTTGGTTGTATAGGGGGTTAAATAAGTTATTAATATTCAATAATGTTAGTTTGACAACTAAAAGACATAAATGAAATCTCAAGAACAGTTGTAAAATATTTATGCTAAATTAAACATGGTGCTTAATTTCATTGCCTAACATGGCGGTTGGAAAATGAAGTCGTGTTGATCGCTCTATCTTAGAAACTTTTCGATATGAATTAAGATTAGTCGTATTTCAAAATAAATGCTCTTTTCTTTTCAAATACTTATTATATTTTATTTTTAAAAATCAAAATACATAAATTTTGATTAATATTTTAAGATGTATTTTTCACGAAATTAATATTAAAATAATCACAATTCATATTTCTTTTCATACATTTTTTAAATATATAAATTCTATTTTTTAAAATATTGAATTAATTTAATCTAATTGAGTTGTAAAAAATAGTCAAATTGACTCTCAAAATACAAAACATGACAACTGAAAAATAGTATTATTCCGTCTCAAAATAAGTGTTACCTTAGAAATTAAAAACAAATATTAGTATGTTTTTCCAATTATTGTATCCTTATACTTCATCTTCTTAATCAACTTTTCAAGCGCATTAATTAAATAAAAAAAGTTTAGTAAACTACACATTGTATTTATTGACTTTTTAATGAATTTTTGCAAAGATAACACTTATTTTGAGACGAAGGAAGCATCAGTTATCTTTTTAGGTAAGACTTTCCGATATGATTTATTATTAGATTTAATGAGAATTGCCTTATGCTTCATTAAATTAAATTTGGTTAGCCGTTAGATTTTAAATGAGAGTTTTTAGTTCTCTAATCTTAGTACTACACCTAGATTTACAAAAATAAGATAGGACAAATATATCCAACAATAAAGCATTGATTAAAAGCTTTCTCATCACATTTTAGTTGAAGATATTTACTATATTCTCAAAGTTCCATCAAACTTTATTCAATGCAATATATTAAATTCAAGAAACAACTCTATTTTTCTACCTTCAAATTAACTCCTCTCATCTAATTCTATACCAAATTCTTCTCTATTTTCCCCCCCTGTTATAATCACACAATTAATTCTGCACTAAATTTCCTTTCTCCTACACATTATATAAATCTTGTCAATCTTTTCCTTTTTCTCCAAACAACTCCCTTTTGCCTATACAAAAATTCAGGTAATATTTTATCCAATTATTTTCATGATTAGACTTTTTTATTTTATTTTATTTTTCTCTAGTAGTGGTTGTAGACTAAAAAAACTGACTTTATCTAATTAATTTGCTCTGTTTTAATATAAATACAGGGGATTCTTGATAAAGT